ATAGATTTACAGGACACAGCAGAGTTAATCAGTCAAAAATAGCATTTTTTGCAAGCCCACCATGTGCAAAAGATTCCTTTTTATTATTTATAAAAAGTAAAAAAATAAAAGCTTGGGAGCCCATTCAATGATAAAATACTTAACGTATCATGCAGTTATTTTTAGGAATTGTTAGAGAACCTTATAAGCTACTTCTTCCAACTAATTTAAGTCATAAATCTTTGCTTTTTGCAAGGTTCATTTTCATTACCATAGATAGACATCAGGAAAAGAGTGACCCTAACCTGAAGCAAGGTGACAGCTGCTTCAAAAAGTCTAATCTGCTTATTGATGAAAAGCAGAAAGGGAATAAATGAATGATTGCTATTGATTCTCATGATAGCTCTACACAGACCCAGGAACTTCTCTAGATTAGTATAGATAGAAGCTAATTAGTTTTATTTCATATGTAAATAGCAGCATAAAGAAGTACAAAAAATAATTCATTGGACTGCTTTATCCGAGAGCACAAGGCACACATTTTGAAAGTCACTTCAAACACAGTTCTTGCTTATGGAGCTCTCTTTCTCTTAGGCAGGAATTTTTTAAATAAATCCAAATTCATACAGCTGTGTATATTCAAGAAATACCAAAAAGTCACAAGGCATAGTAAGTTTCAGCTGTTCTCTTCTCTCCAGTGTTATCAATAACACATAATGAATTAGTTCATACATCATCGCAGCTGTGCAGGCCAGCGCTAACTAGGCTAATTTAACTATTCCAGTACAGTTCAGTCAGGAGCTTGTTCTAGTTTAAATTAATTCACTCTGAGTGTTACATAGACTACAACAAAAAAATACTTTCTACCATCATTAATATAAATTTCTCTTTTGTCTTTTTACATAGTTTCTATGAAGTTATTTAATGGGACTGTCTCTTGGACAGATTAAAGAGACTGCTAAGAGCAATTAGTTATCAAAATCGCTCAAAAACTAAGGTTATGACAACACTCTAGGTTAAGCCTTAAACAAGTAAACTTTCTCTTTTATCAATAAACATTAACTCCAAAAGAAAAGAATTCTGAGAAAAACTAACCAGAGATTCACAGTTTGCAATTTTCTTCTTTACTCCTACCCTCTTCCTGCAAATTCAGAGCTAGAACACTAGTCATTGCATCACTGGAATTAATCACTAGTCATCTTTTAAACAGCAAGTAATCTCCAAAAGATGGTTTGCAGTGTATCTCTTTCTTTATGGGTGGCAATAACCAGAAAACTTCTTGCACACTTTGAAATGAATGTAATGTGAAACCAATGGTGATCATGGTTGCTGAAAAGATCTATACTGCTTCAATATTTCAACTATCCATACCAGTACTGGAGTACAGAGATAGCAAGGCTCTTTCAAAATCCCAACATCATCTTTTAATAAGGATGAGTGGCTAAACTGTTAAAGACTGTTTTCTTAATGAAAAATACAACATTCAGTGTTGTTTTCTCAACTGCATATTTGGAATTTGAAAAATCTTCAAGGCCCATCCCATGAAGAAATAAAACTTCAGCATCAAATCTGGGGAGTTCATACATATTTGACTAGTTGATGTTGACAATAAACATCTATAGATAGAATATAAAAGCAGAGTGAGAAAACAAAGGTGATTGTATCAAAATTTAATTACAATGAACCAAATAAGCACTTATTACTGAAATCCTTTTCTACATGTTTTTAATATCTAATTATCTTGCCTAAAGAGCTGTTTCCTTTTCAATTTCATTCTGACAAAGTGAACACTATATATCTAATTTAGAGTAACATAGATATTAAACCCTCACATTGTTTGTGAAGTAAATTAAAATAATTTATCTGCATAGTTTGAAACTATGAACTTTTGTCTCTGCTAGGGAACCAGACCTATGAACTTTCCCCAAGTTCTACATAATAAAGATATTGTTATATTGGGATTGGGGATATAGCTCAGTTGGTACAGTGCTTGCCTCACATGCACAAGACCCTGGGTTCAATTAAAAAAAAAAAAAAAAGATGTTGTTATAGTATAGAGACTTACCAAATCATATAAACTATTGAAAACAAGTAGGATAAACAAATGCCATTCATTATTCACTGTTCCTGAATCCAAATACTACTGGGTCTGATTTGGACATATAAGCAGCTGAACACACACTTCCTGGTTATGTGCAATCTGCACAGATAGACCAGCTCTACAGGCCTGACCACAGAGATTAATAGCTTTAGCCAAATAATGTGGTAACCATGTGAACCTGGGCTGCTCCAGCTTGTTTGTGAATCTCTCAGCAAGGCTCAACATGCCGTTATCTGCATCTTGTTGCCAGGAAACACAACATCGCTTTGGAATACAAGGAAAACCAGGTTGCAGTGACCACAGGTCAACTTCCCAAAAGACTAATTTTTGACACTTAGCTATTTACAATCTTTATTTCTTCCTGTTCAACAGTTTCTACTTTTTGCTATTTTATCAGAGCAAGACCATATACAATATTAATAATGATTGTAGCCACTCATACTTTTTTCCCTCTCCTAAATGTCAGATAAGCATTAATTTACTTGATTAAAACTGATTTGGAAATCAAGTGCCAACTTCAACCATTTTATAAATTGAGCCAACAATGCATTCTTTGGGTCTTGTATCTATTCTTCAGCAAATACTAAAGGCTAAAATACCCAATATGCTGATGACCCAAGAAGTCCCAGATCTTCTGGGATCAAAATAACTGTCTTGCGTTCACTCATGGTAACAGAATGTAATGTAGTGCATAATAATCCTGCTAGTTTCTTCCTGAACAATTCAATACAGAAACCTAAGTGTACCAAGATGCTCAAGTACTAAGCAGACTGGAAATGTGCTTTGAAAGAGTGAAGTGGGAGGCTACTGCTCTGCAGAATTTTGCAATTTGGAGATGGAAAGATTAGAGTGGCTTTGAGAGTATGTACATAAAAAATAAATTACCCTTGACACAGCAATTAGAATTGCTAGCTCAGGGGCCAACACAGGTTTTGAATGATACCTTATTAAAAAGATTTTTAAGAAAAAATGAAAAATGCTTTTCTCTTCCAATGTTGGCATTAAGAAATAAGGGCTGGGGTTGTAGTGCAGTGGTAGAGTGGTTGCCTCGCATGTGGAAGGCTCGGCTCAATCCTCAGCACCACTTAAAAATAAAATAAAGGTATTGTGTCCATCTACAACTAAAAAAATATTTTTAAAAAAAGAAGTTAAAAGGACTTAGCTTTATAAGATTTTTTCAACCCAAGCAAGATTCAAGTAGAATCTTGAATGCATTAAATCATTAAAATAACTTACTTATAGTAAGGAAAACTAAATTCTTGACATGACCTTATTTTTATCCAAGGGGTCTTCTATATTTCTTTAAACTTGAGCCTTAAACTATTTATCATCTTGTTCCGCACTTCTCATCTGAAACAAGATGCACAGTTCCAGTTTCATGATAATTAAGTTGCTAAAAAGACATGGACCTGGGCACTATGTAAGTGAAATACTGAAACTCTAAAAAGAAAACCACTTCGTCAATACTAAACTGGGACCAAAAGTTAAAATAACCAAAAACAAAACAACAACAAAGCAACCCTATTACCGACAATGCTCTGGAACCATGTCAGAATACAGAAGTTGGAAACAAGACTAAGAATTTGACAACTTGTAAATGGTTTACTGCCACCATTTGATGACTCTCCAGACACTTGGGTAGTGTAACTTAACTTTTTCCTGTTAACATTTGACCCTTAAGGAAGTTTTTCCTCTGGCCTCCTGGGTTAGGATACTCAGTATAATTCCCCTCCCACTGTGGGTTATGCCTCTTAGTATCAGGCCAAGCCACTCATTATTTATGATGTTAAAGGTTGCCCTAAAGGTCTTCAAAGTCAGGTACCATGGAAAGTGCTCTAAAATTTTAATCCTTTCTCTTGATCAAACACAAATATCTATTAATGTCCCACACTTTAACTCCTTCTACACTACAGGAAAAACAACTTAGGAACAGAAAGATGAATGTACTACATACAGCCATTTTTGCATATCAACTTTACAAGTGGTAACTATCATTCTCCTCATTTTAAATAAAATTCAGTTACAGAAAAATTAAAATGTGGAAATGTAAATTCCATGTCAGTGAATACTGCTTACACAGCCATACTAAAAGGACTGAATTATGTACAAACACATCTTGCAAACCAAAATTCAAGCATAGTTTTTATGAAGGTGATAAACATTTCCATTAAAATAAATCCTCCCTTTACTCACTGTAAAGACTCTTCCAGAATTGAAAAGAAAAAAAATAAAAACTGAATTGTGGAAACTTAGTAGTAAAATGCTTTAAGGAAACTAATAAAAGAGATTTAATGTATTCTGGCATGATTCAGAAGTATGGGAGGAACTTCTGAATCATTCACAGAAAAAGTGTTTGTACTACTAAAAGCGAAAAAGGCCACAAATATCTCCAAATATTTTCCTTTAAAAAAAAGTAGCAGCTACTCATAGTGCATTCTATTGTCATGTATAAATAAAACAAATTTTAAAAATAAAATAAAAGATATGCCATTGAATATAAAAAAGTAGTAGCTACTCCACACGCAAAATTTTAAAATTAGACAAATTAGGTATTGATTATGTTATAAGATTTATCATGGGATTGTCTTTCAAAGCAAGTTTTCCTGTGAGATTAAATTACTACTTGATATACAAAATTCAATATATATGCAACTTCTCAACCACATGCACACTGAATGAAATGACATCTGAATTGTTCAAATCATACAACCTTCATTGTCAGGTTAGATAAATAGCCTGCATTCAAGCATCACTTAAAAAAAAAAAAAATCAAGATAGAATAAAGCCAAAGGAATAACAAAAACAAAAAAAAAGAAGAAAACCTATATAGGTTTTAACTACTGAAAGAAACTACCATATTTCAGCCTTTTTACATTCTCTAAAGCATTTAGCAGTTTTTATAAGTTGTCATAATACATACCCGTACTTCATTCTCATTCTATCATTTTCTGGATTACAATAAAATCTTTCCAAGTGCTCCTGAGAATCATTGGATACACTCTGCCACTTCTGAGTAGTTGTCCTCTTGATCTGCCAATGATATGGTAAAACTGTGTGATGCTTCAAACAATCCCTGCCATAAATACAAGTGCCTTGCAGAAATTCCATGCAAATTTCAATTGCATTCTCTTGGTGAGTGTGGTATTGTAGCTGGTTTACCAGCTCAAACACAAGGTCAAGGGAAGCCTCCTCACTCTTGTCCTGGAAGAGCTCAGTACTCAACTTATCACTGGTGTCCAAAATGTACTGGATTGTAAAACTGTTGTCTTGGAAAACCCCTGGAACATAATCCATGACTTTGTCTATGCAGTCAGGGCTAGTAGGAATATCACTTGAAACCGGATGCAAAAGGTCAGTCTGGAAGTGCCCTGCTGTTGAATCAGCCACCGTCCCACTGATGGTTTCTGGTGGAAAGCTGTGATCCTGGATTGGAACCACTTGTTCTGGGGCATCAGTGGAAGGATGGGCTTCCGGTATTTGGCCCCCAACATTTGTTCCATCAGGAATCAGGACAGACACATTGTTTTCTGTTGTTGGACACGGTGGATTAATTTCCAGGGGTTTTTTCACCATAGGTTCATGTAAACTGTTCTCATCTCCACTCTGGTCTCTAGATCTAAAAACCCCATCAAGTGATCCAGATTCTAGCAAAGTGTTTAATATTGGTCTCAAAGACCTCAGGGTTCCGGTTCCCAATCTCTTCTGATCCGGCTTTTTCTTAAAACAAGTCTTCAATGGAGTGATCTTCTCAGAGAGTCTCATTTGGCATGAAAAGTCATCAGGAGGAGAAGGAGGCTGCACTACACAATCTGGCTCAGGTTCGGTGGTTTCCATTTCCACAATGTGAGTAAGCTCCAATTCCTCCGCAGGGTCTAAAAATCCTATCAGGAAAGTAAGAAAGATGATCATTTACAAAATGACAACTGAATCCCATTCATTCATTAAAATGTTTTGTTGGTCTGTGACTAAGTCACTGAAAGTACTCCTCCTGTGCTATATTTAGTCTCTACAGGTCATCTTTAACTTAAGAAAGGAAGGCTCCAAAACAGCACAAGCTATTCAAAATCAAAGCACAGGTAAAGGCAGGCGAGAAAGAATGCCTTTAAACAAGACTTTGGCATTTATTTGTGGATTTAACAGTTTGAAATTCTGCTGGGTATGAATTTTTATTGTAAGGCCAGGGTGGAATGAGATGAGAAATAGACACAATTGTGTCTAGATGAAGACAGCAAAGAAACCACACATCTCAGCTTTGTAGTTCTCTTTACAGTTGTTTATGTATCATTCGCTTCATGAGTTGACAAAAACTTGGTTTCTTTGTAGGGGAAAAAGTTCAAATGAAAGATAAACTTCAAAGTTAGTGAATTTGGGGGTGTGAGAATACACACAGAAAACAAGGAACTATCAATTGAAGTGTTGTTACATGGGATAAACCCAGGAGCCTGTTAAGCATTTCCATATTCATAAAGTTCCAATATACTCCAAGAATGTTTGCAATCCCCTGAAAAACATTACCACTACTGAGAAGGAATATCAGGCCTTTAGTTTCAGCAATAACCACACTGCATAGTGTGTTAAAAACCAAACACAACTACATTATGGGTAAAGGTCTAATTTTTATATTACAGAAAGGCAGCATAAAATACACACCCAAATTTCAGATTCTGAATGAACTCCTAAAAGAAATTTTCTTAAAAGAATCAGAATCCTTGAACAAAAGTGAAATTTGAAAATATTTACTGAGATTGTGCCAGGTGAGAAAAATAATGAGCAATTAATTCTCTTCTCTTGTCCAATAAACTGAAAGAGCTCTTTGATGCAAAGGCCCATGACTTAATCAAGTATGCACGGTAGGTGTCCAGTACAACGCCCAGCACAATGCACACAGTGGGTGTCCCGTAAATATTTCGTTAGCTGAATTAATGAAGAAAAGGCTTGTGTTAAAAACTTTGTTCTTGGTTGCTTGTAGGTCAAAAACAAAAACTGAGTCCCGAGAAAAGTAAATATTCAAGTCCTAATTAGAGAAAGTCATTATCTGTAGAAAATGAACAACCGAACTAAGAAACAGAAAACACGGAGCACGGTACATGACAAAGTGCTAGCCTAAGTGCAAAACGAAGAGGTGGAGGAAGGAGCGTTCAGTGTGAGCTGGCATTGTTAGGAAAGCTTCGCGAGGCAGGGACCTGACACGAGACATAAATCAACTGGAAGGCAGCCAAGCCAGGCGTTATTATTCATCCTCCGGTGCTCCTTCCTCCAGGCACAACTGGCACAGCCCTCGGTATTCCCTGCGCACCCGGAGCCCACGCACGCACACCGACCACTCCCCCGCCCGCCGGCGCGCCCGCGGACGTGTGCGTGCACACTCAC